TGTCAAAGAGCTTGGACCAGATCAGCCCGACGTGAAGATAAGCCAGCAGGACAAGGAGAGAGGTAAACTGTACACACTAGGCTTCTCCCGAAATTGGTACACCAGGAAGGCTTGGCTAGCTGGATGCAATCACGCTAATGCGTTATTTTGCTTTCCGTGTTTGTTATTCAAAACGGCTGGGACAGATAAGGCATGGATGAGTCAGGAGTTACAGACATGAAACATTTTTCTGAGAAGGTGAAGAAACACGAGTCATCCCGGGCACACATGGACAACAAGGTGAAGCTAGCCATGCTAGGCAGCAGAGCTAACGTTGCCATGCAGGGAACAACAGCAGCTGGGTGCAGAGGTAAGCTGTACATTACATTTCTGTGAACAAGACAATCAGAATCAGAAATCCTTGGTTGTCCCACAAACCGGAACATTTGTTTAATAACATGTTTAATGTGCAATAACTGTAAAAACTAATTTCAACACACATACTTATTATACATATTTAATCACGTAAATGTGTATTTCATGTAAAGTTGTACATCCATCAATCTGATTCCATTTTACTTGTTACACTTCTGCTGCAGCAAACAAATTTCCCAGCTTTTGGGACAATTAAACATTTCTGATTCTCAATTAGATGTTTTTACCTCAAATGTAAAAACATCTGAGAATCAGAAATGTTTTATTGTCCCAAAAACTGGGAAACATGACATTTGTAAGAGGATACTGATGACATTATTTCCTATGAAAGTGTTTCCTATGTACTTATCTGTTGTTTTTTATTTATCATATGACAGGTTTTTCACACCATCCTGAGCCATGCAAAAGAAGATTCTTGTCACCACACCCATGACCACAACCGAATCAGAAAGGTGCTTTTCTACTTTAAAGAGGATTAAGACTTTCCTTGAGGAACACCATGACACAGGATGGGCTGAATGCTCTTGCCATGCTCTCCATGGAAAAACAAGCTTGTCACAAACATTCCTGACTTCAATAAAAAGCTCATCGAGAGCTTTGCCACTCAGAAAGACAGAAGGGCAAAATTTCTGTACAAATGAGGTATCACACACACACACAAATGCATCCACTTGATCTTTGTATAAAGTTGACCTTGGCACAACACTCCAGAAATATTTAACAGTGTAAATTTCTGGCATTTTGTCTAAGTAGTGTTTACTACCATTACTGTAACAGTGATCTGCTCATAATTTTTCGTGTTCACTCAAATGTTGAAATTAAACAAAATGTTTTTGTTACTTGCCTCTTGTATTGCCTATTTACCATTTATGGTTGTGTTATATTATATGGAAGCCCATTCCCGCCACTCAGATTAAAAAAAAATTATTATCTCATAATTATGACTTAGCTATCTCATAATAATGAGATACTATCTCATAATAATGAGATACTATCTCATTATTATGAGATACTATCTCATAATTATGAGATACTAAGTCATAATAATGAGATAGCATCTCATAATTATGACTTAGTATCTCATTATTATGACTTAGCTATCTCATAATTATGAGATACTATCTCATAATTATGACTTAGCTATCTCATTATTATGAGATAGTATCTCATTATTATGACTTAGTATCTCATTATTATGACTTAGCTATCTCATTATTATGAGATAGTATCTCATTATTATGACTTAGTATCTCATTATTATGACTTAGCTATCTCATTATTATGAGATAGTATCTCATTATTATGACTTAGTATCTCATTATTATGACTTAGTATCTCATAATTATGACTTAGCTATCTCATAATAATGAGATAGTATCTCAATATTATGACTTAGTATCTCATTATTATGACTTAGTTTCTCATTATTCTGACTTAGTATCTCATTATTATGACTTAGCTATCTCATAATTATGAGGATCTGGGTGTGGGTTTGGCTTGATAGACAGAAATGGATATCAGTAACATCATTGAGCAATATTTCAGAAGTGGTTTTTCCAATCGTGAAATCTTACAACTTTTGGAAGAATCCCACAATGTGAAATTAAGCCTTCGCACATTAGAGAGACGCTTGCAAAAGTTGCGGCTTTGGAGAAGAAGAAACAAGACAGATGAAGCTGAAGTGGCATCTTTCATTCAGCAACAACTACAAGGATCTGGTAGACAGCATGGCTACAGGTGGATGCACCAGAAATGCTGGATGGCTGGGATAGTCACCGACAGGGAAACAGTACGTGTTCTGATGCGCATGATGGATCCAACTGGGGTTGAGCTGCGTGCTCAAAACCGTTTGAGGCGACGCTCTTATGTCAGTCGTGGGCCAAATTATGTATGGCACATTGATGGCTACGACAAGCTCAAACCTTATGGTATTTGTATTAATGGCTGCATAGATGGCTTCTCAAGGAAAATTATCTGGTTGGAAGCATATAAAACCAACAGTGACCCTCACATCATTGCTGGCTATTTCATTGATTCTCTGGTGGAATGGAATGGATGTCCACAAAAGGTCAGAGTGGATCATGGCACAGAAAATACTCATGTGGTGGCGATGCAAAGATTTCTGCACAACACTGAAAATGAAAATGGTTTTGACTCTGCTATCCTCGGCCCGAGCACTGGAAATCAAAGGATAGAACGATGGTGGTGCACCTTAAGAAGTGAATGTGCCCAGTTTTGGATGGATCATTTTGACCAGCTGAAAGCTGATGGGTTTTTTGTTGACAGCTTTCTGGACAAATCACTGATCCAGTTTTGCTTCCTACAAACAATACAGGTAATAGAAATGTATTTCTTACATTCTTGCAGCACAGAAATATGTAAATATTTCTAAATAATAAAACAATATTTTATTTTCTAATTTTACTATTCTTTTTTGGTCATTGTACAGGTGGAACTGGATGAGGTTGTCTATGCTTGGAATGACCATCGCATACGATCTACTAATAATCCTCGAGCTCCTAGTGGTCGTCCAACAATAATGCATGCGGTCCCCAACCTTTATGGGGTTCCAAATTTTCTCCAGCCTGTGAGTCCAACAAAGCTGGAAATATGTCTAGAGGAGTGTTATTTCAAGGATTTTCCCTGTGATGTAGACGTATTTCACTTGTGCACTGAACTCATGTCTGAGCACAGACTGGTAATGTCAGATGATGTTTATGAAATTACTAATCTGTATGTAAAGCTCCGTCAAATGATTAGCGATGGGCTGAGGGAATAGATTATCTATATCACATACTCCCCAAATCCAACAAGGCTGGTTTTATTTCAGCATCGCCTGTGTTATGGTACAAACTTTGTGATTGTAAGTGGGCTAAAATACACAAGTGAGATATGACTTGTTTCTGTGCTTTATTCAAAGAGTGATGGAATTTAGTGTTTACTTTAAAGTGTAGGTCAAGACCTACCAACAGAATTCCTTAGAATTTAATTTATGTTAGCCTTTTGTTTAAAATAACACTCAATAATGCCAAAATGTTTAGGTTATCCCTTTTCTTATTCTTACCAGCTCAGGACACTGGTGGTTATATGGACAGTGGGGTTACAAGTACAGTGTATTTGGTTGTTCTTAGCAAAAAACTGTTATATATATATATAATAGTTTGTACTTTTGTTACCGTTCAGTTTGTAGAAGCATAAATGTTGTAATCTGGTACTTTCACATTTATATTTCAGAGATTTTGTGATACTTAATATTTTAGTTTATATACAGTGCAATTGCTACTCAATAAAGAAGAGTACATTGTAATCAGAATGTATTTATTTTGGAACATCCAACAAAAAAAAATCATCCATCTTTTGGACATTTTTGAAAATTAAAGTCATGTGCTTAAAGAAATCTTTGTTTGTGGGAGTCCACCTGTGTGAAAATATGGGAAAAAAATAAAATAAACACCTCACTTGTTGATAGAAATAAACTGTTTTGAAGAGCCACCTTAGCTTTTTTCACCTTTCTCTTTGAGAGAAAAAAACTTTAAACAATGTCCATGACCCATACATTAGAATCCAAAACTTTGTTCATTTCAGCACTGAAATCTGGATAGTTGTCATAATAGACTGACAGCTCCAGGACACAGCCACATGTGTGAGCCACCGGTCTTCTCAGAAACCCTTGGATCTTGTTGAACTCGATACTTATTCTCTTGTCCAGGAACAAGTCTGACCCTGTGCAGAATCTTAGAAACAAGGACAGATGCTGCAAATCTGCATTCCTTATGTATGTGGTTACATACCTTTGAATGGCCGTCTGATGGACATTCATTTCCTCAGGAAAGTCGAGGGACTTCAAAACTTTTCTTACATTTGGTTGCAAGTTTTCATATACTGAAGAAATGTCCTTCAAGCTGTTCTCAGTGATGCTGAGTATTTTTGCCCATTGTTCAATAACATAGGCCGGCTCTTGGACAAGTGTTTTGTGTGCAAGTTCCTGTAGGATTTCGTTTGCATTGCTGGCAGTGGGCAGTCGTCTGCAGCAGTGGTTATCAAGAATCTCTATTAATTCTTCTTGGTCAACACTGCTAAAATCTGCTTGCCATGATTGAAACACTGTGCGCTCAGATTCAGGCATGTACTTCAGAAAATTTTCCACCACATCACTTTTTACATGTCCAAAGGCAGCCTGCTCTAATATGACAGGTGTGATCCCCACAGGAAGATATTTCTGTCTTGTCCAGCCAAAAGCGATTATTCGGCCTACACTCTCCCACTGCTCCTGTCCATAATCGTGTCTTAGAAATGGAACTTTATAAGCATTTCCTGTGGTACACTGCTCATAAAAATCTTTCCAGAATTCAGAGAGACAGTCTCTCAAAACTCCTCCTTCATCAAATGCCATCTCAGGTTTTCCATCAGGCAGGACAAGTTGGATTCTGAAGTTACTTTCTAGAATTTTATCATCACAGAAGTGTAATATGAGCTGCCGAAGTACCTGTCCTCTGTGAACAACCAGTATTTTCTTCACTGGCTCTGCTAAGGACAGGATTTGTGGAGACAGAGGTAGAGTATCATCCAGAATCTGTGGCTCACTCTCAGAAAACTCCCCCACACTCCACCTCATCCATGAACTCTGTGGAATGAAATGTTAATTCAATATTTTCGTCATTTGTGGAATTTTCGAAAAATATCAAGTCAGTAGTGACTGTTTCGGATTCTGTAGCCTGACTGATTGTAGCATCATTAAAAGCTGAAGAAGAGGAGGGATGACTGTGAGAACTGTTGTGGTCCTGAGCAAATGGTGAAGACTCTTCATCTTGACAGTTTGAGTGGGTTTCCATCTTTTTACGTGTGGTCAGATAAAACCTGATAACCGGGAGTTTTGTATCAATGTAAAGTTGTCCTACTGTAATGTTGTCATCAACTGCCACTTCCTGATAATCTCTGAGATCCACCTCAAAATCTGCTAAGGACCCTTCTCTATTTCTCCCATTAGGAAAGAATAGATCAATTGCCATCTGAATTATGTCATTTTTCTTTGCATCTTTTGATACATCTACCCTCCTTGTTCCACCTCCTCTTTTTGCTCTCACTTGTTTAAAAGCCTCTATTTCTTCATCGTAGATCATCCAGCCTAGTTCTATTTTCCTCTTTGACTTAAGAGCATTTTTCTTTACAGGGGTTGCAGATTGCTCTTCTTGTTCTGTACTGCTGCCATCTTCATCAGCAGTTCTTCTTCTTTTACGCAGTTTTGATTTAAGGCGCTCAAAAAGCTTTGTTTTGCGCCAGTTTGGGTTTCCATTTTCCTTTCTCCTACAATAACCTAACAGTGCAAGGCGGTCTCCATATGATGGCAAATAACTCTTTAATTGTTCATCTGTCATCAACTGGATGATGCTGGTATCGATCTAAATGAAGACAGTGAAATATTATTGTTTAAAAACACAATTATAGCAACAGAATTGCATGTGATATTATTGAAATTTAATTAGATGATATTGCAAGAAACATGCTTCCCGTTCCCACAATATTTTTGAATTTTTTTAAATGTTCATCAAAGTACCTTCTCTCTCAACATGGTCTCTATAGTTTCCTCAGGAATGTTCCTTTGTCGCAGGAAATCCCAAAGGTCATCCATTCCATGACCATACACTGAAAGGAAAGATATGAAGAACAACAACATAGATATTTCCAATATAACATAAAAAAATCCATGCAACATACTTTTACAACCATGGAGTTAGTCATAATGCCAATCAGTTCTCAGTGTCAAAGTAAATCTTACAGCATTTCAACATTTTACTAAATTCCACGGACAGGCAGGAAGTTGATTATTTTTTTATTCTGAAATCTTTTTTCTTATTTTCTGGGATGGGTTATGCTTTTACATTGATTTACTTTACTGGTAAATAATTTTCAAAACATCATATTTATCAAAATGGAAAAAAAACTTGATTAAATAGTGATCGTGATTTGACATGAAATAAATTGTGATGATTTTTTTTCCCATATCAACCACCCCTAGTACCATACAGCTTTAGGCACATAATGTAAGAGGATCAGTTTGTATGTAAGTTGAAATGATTTGAATAAAAGCATTTAAAACAACTGACAACTCCAGTGATCATCCCTGCCCCACTGCAACATTATATGTGGGTTTTATTTCACTTCCTTTGCTTTAAACTAGGCTGTTTTTTTTAATTGAAATATGTTATTTATTTTAGGTTTCTTTTCTAATTTTAACCTTTATTGTTACTTATGCTTTCTCATAAGTGTCTTCAGCACTAATTTTCATGGACTGAAAAGATAAGGGGTTAATCAACTCTTTGGATGTTCAGTCCAATGAAGAAAGTACTTACTCCATGAGTACTGGTACATCATATTAAAAACTCTGACAAATATATGCTGTTGAAACTTTATTTTCCTGTATTTGCAAATACTAATTTTTACTCACCTGAGTACTCTAGTCCTTCTGCTGTGTCTTTTGGCTGTCCTTCAGCTGTATAGCACCAACTCACAAGTGGAAGATGCACAGTTCTTTCCTAGTCCTGCAACAAATCACATATTTGCAGTTTAACATAAAAAAACACAGACCGGAAGGTAATGTTTTAGAATAGCAAATGTACCATGTAGACATTAAATAGTGGTGAGAAGCAGCCTCTAAAAACTATTTAGGAACACCGGAATTTGTTTGTCCTACACTAAACATTTATTATTAGAGCTAATTGAAATGTACTGACTTTGTTTTATGGATAGGTAGTGTTTTCTTTGACTGTTATATTTTAGCTGTAACCAAAGACCTAGAATGACGCTGGCTAAAACAAGCTCAGTTTTTAGCATACACTGTATAATGTTACACATTTATGCGGTGCGCTAACATTAAAAACGGTTAAACTGATGTATGTCAAGTCAAAATGTATACACATTATTTATAAGGGAAAAAAATTATAATTACATACCTATATAACTGGCATACCAGTTCTTCAGTTACATGAAGTCCTTGATCATCCAAAGAGCTAACAATCTGCCTAAAGCCAAGTGGGCTCCATTCCCGCTCAGATCGGAGGCCTGCCGATTACGTCATACTACGGCAAATCCACTCGGACAAACTTCATTGCAAAGCTTTTTTTCATACATTTCTTCCACACATTGGTTCTGAGCTGAGAAGAGTTTAGCAGGTTTTCTAGAAAATATGTTTCTTACCACCTACATGTTTTCTTTAAAGCTGTCATTTGCTAATGTAACCCCATTATTTTCATTTTGTAAAGAATGTGAAACTACCCAAAAACTCGGACAACAGTTCTTTTGGGATATTTTAAAGTATTCTTATGTATAACTCGTTAGTTATTATGTTGTACATTTTATTTCTTAAATCTAATTTACTTTAATTATTTTATCTGCTGTTTTATGTTGTCACATCAATTTGAATGTTTTATTTTCTTGCTGGAAAAATCATTAATTGCTCAGGTTTGTGCTAGACAAATGAAGCTGCCTTGCTAACTGTCCAAAAAAGCTCTTAACTAATTATATTTTGACTCATGTCGTGTCAATGGTGTGTGTGTGTGTGTGTGTGTGTGTGTGTGTGTGTGTGTGTGTGTGTGTGTGTGTGTGTGTGTGTGTGTGTGTGTGTGTGAGAGAGAGAGAGAGAGAGAGAGAGCAAACTAGCACGGTACACCCTGGACAGGTAGCCATTATTTACATGTTACTAGTTACATTAAATAACACATAGGAGAGAGAGAGAGAAAGAGAGAGAGAGAGAGAGAGATCAGCAAAGTACAATTCTGTCCTTATTGTTTTTACTTTTCCCACTGATGCAGAGCCGAGACGTAGGTGGTTGTTGCTATTCACAGGGACAAATTTAATGTAACACAACACACCTGTGCTTGTAGTCGGCACTTCAATGCTTATGACATCCATGAACTTGAGGATCTGGATACCAGAGGAGGAGATAAGGCCAAATCTGCCTGTAGACTTTTAGGACTACCCAGACACCACAGTCATTCTTGACTGCACTGAGCTGATGTGTCAATGTCCATCTTCCCCTCTCCTCCAGAGTGAGGTGTTTTCCTCCTACAAAGGAGCCTGATGTCTGAGCACCTCGAGTCATGTAGGGCAACCACACTGTATATTTACACACTTCCATAAAGGTACTGCATTTAAAGCTTTCACTCAGATGATCTTCAACGGTGCTGTGCCCTTCTGAGGGCTTGAGATGCGGTACCTTCACAAAACCTCTGCAATAAAGTAAGTTATGATTAATTTCTCAACTGATAGTTCTTAAAATAAAAAAAAACCTATGTCATGCTTAAATGTGTATTTGTATGTTTTAAATGGTTTTGTAATAAAAAAGAAATTGAAAGTTTTTGGTTTCAAATGCTTCTGTGGTAAATAAAATAAGTCATCGGTTTTTGTTTAGTCTTCTTTAATTCATTTAATTTAAATCTTATCTTTTGAAACTAAACAGAAGCCATTTAAAAATGATTACTCATCTAGCAAACAAAACATCACAAACAAGAAAATGCAGAAATATTTAATTTTACTGCAGATTTACATTGAATTTCCTCCGCAGTAAGTCTTTACATTTAAACAGCAACAAAAACATTACAATAGTGTCTGTATGACTCCATGTCACGAGGAACTCACTGAATAAACATGTCATCTGTGGTGTAAACAACAATGTCACACCACTCACATGGAGAAATCAACAGTCAACACCGACCTGCCAGTAATGAGGATGAGATCGCCACAGAGAGTAAACCTTTTCTGAGCATAATAATCCACAAAGCTACACACATTTAGGCATTTTATTTCCAGCAGGCCACACTCAGGCTGCCCTCAGGATCATACATAATCCCATCTGCTGTTGAACCCATCCATGGTGCCTCAGGGTGGATCAGGACCCCACATGGGTAGTGGTTTACCTCTCTTACCTTGCAGTACTCCTTGATGGCTGTAGGCTCCAAAGCAAGACCCCAACATTTGTCATCAGTCTGACTACTTGTTCCCATAGGCTGTTTCACAAGGTTCTCAGCAGAACCTTCTGCCCTGGTGTGACACACTTATCTAAATTTTGTAGAAGTGATGTGGCATCTCCTTAGTTGGTGCCCCTCCACACAGAAACTCTGCAGTTGTGTTCTGTTCTGTTCTCAGCTTTGTATGATTTCCCCAATGATGTTGTGAGGGATGTGAAATGATGATTTTCAGTAAACACAAATGCACATGCAGAGGGTCCCAGTCTGTAATGAGAGAGTGACAGTTGTGGGAGAGAAGGGTTGTCTTTGTGTGGACGCGTCCTGGGGGCCGTCCTCACTGGTAGTTGGTAAGATGGCCCGCTTCCCTCCTGCACCGAACCAAACTTGGACCCACCCAGAGGTACATCACCAGAGACAGCCATGGTTGTTATCACCGGAGCCTCATCTGCACCAAGTCTGTGGTACGCCTCCTGCACCTTAAGAATGAAGCTGTCTGTCATCGGGGAAGCTGACTCCTCTTTACAAACTGCTTCTGGGGAAGAAAAACAAAAGTCAAATGGGGTGTGTGCATGTGCGTGTGTGCGTGCAGTCCAGAAAGAGAAACATACCTTGTTCATTCTACCGGTCTCCTCTCTCTTGGTCTGGCTGATATGATGACCATGTCATTAACTGGACATGGTTTAATACCTTGTTTCCAAATAAAAACAAGTTTAAAGGTTATAAAAGAAATATGTATACACATAATAATAGTATCATTAAAAGATTGTAACCTTGGTCCCCGTTTTGTGCCACTGTTGTTCAGTTTCTGTGCAGCTCAGCACTGGGGAGGGGGACCGATGTAAGTTTCAGCTGGGAGAAATGTGCCGTCTGGTAGAGTTGAGCTGCCACATGACATCACATGGCTGCACCTGCCACACATACACTGGCACCCCCAATGGCTTTGAATCCCTTAGCACAATCTGTTACAACACAGAATATTTGTTAGAGTACAACTGCATTTAAAGAGAGACAAACATTGATGATTAACTTCACTTCATTCATTTTAAAATAGAAGAGTAGAACAAGTAATGGAAAAAATAAAATAACTGTAAACAATGTTGTGCTTCTGCGAGTCATCTAATGTCTGACTTTCTGTGACATGCTATTTATACAAACTTTACTTACTATATTCTTTCTGGGACACATTTTATCTCTGATACCACATGACACACGTAGTTCAGGCATGTCATTAACCTGTTATCAAACTAAAAGCAATGATATGACTCGCAAAAATGTGACGTTTAAAAACATGAACAGTCTTCTTTTGAACCTGAATCAATCCTGCACTGAACCTGCAGGGTAATGTTTCCCTACACTCAGACAGTGGGGCTTCTGGTTTTTCCTCATTGACCTGAAACACTCGGACCTAACCGTGACCTCTCCTGACTGCATGATTAAAACTGAGAATAACATATGAACTGTTGTTGTTTTTTTTCTTTCATTTCATACACGAAAAACACGCATGACCTTACTTATCACTCCAATAACGTTTCCTTGTTGTGCTAACTTAGGCTAGTGGAGAGCTAGCATGTAGCATCTTTAGTAACTCAGAGCAGAAGTTTGTTAGCTTACCTTCATAGCTGTGTAAGTAGCCGGGCACATACAATACAAGCTTTGTCC